TTCCTGGTTAAATGGTCCCTGGTCAAGTGGTTCCTGGTCAAAAAAAAGGTTGGGAATAACTGCTAAACCATTTGGTCCAAACAACCCCAAAGACTCTCCTAGGACGATAGGGGCCAATTTTGCCATGCTCACAGTGCTCCAGACATTTTATTCTCCAGAAAATCTTTTTGCAAAAGGAGATAAACTGGAAGTTTACTTCTGGGACTCTTTAGTGAAGGCCCCTCCTGGCCTATAGTGTGACCAAATTCCACCCCAATGGTTTTAGGGAACTTCTGGTGTTAAAAAATTAAAATGGAACACGACTTTTGGAAACAACTTGAAAAGAGTTATCTTATCCAAAATAAGGCTATTGATTTACAACTTGCCAATTTTAAACTTATTTACCAGGGATCACAGAATTGGTAACTAGGAGACACTAAAATTATTCTTAAACTTGCAAGCTGCCTTGGACATTTTTAATGTGCTCTATTGCACTGCCAAGTGCACAATGCAAATGTTTGTTCAGAAATGGGGATCTGACTATTTTGGTGCATTTCTGGTGCACACACTGTCAGAACAAAACAGATCCTTATTTTGTGGCCTGCTTTGTAGTCAAAGGTGGCCAACAGGGAAAATGTTTCTCTTCGATGCCTTATTAGAATAAAAAGCTTCCCGTTTTTATGCCACATAAGGAGAGTGTGGGAATTCTGAGGCAAAACTCCCTACATTTTCATATGAATGCTTTTCATTTTCAAAGAAAACACCAGCTGCTTATAATGAACAGAAGGGAATCTTATAATGTGTTGATGTTGCTGTTGCTGAAGTATAAATGCAAATCATTCTCTTAAATTGCTTATTTAAATGGATTAGCTTGCACTATTATTATAGCTTCAAGGTAAATGATACTGTGCATAGCAGAAGATAAGTAATACTGTGCATCCTGTAATGACCATAACAAGTCAAGAAGACTAAACATTAAAAAGAGATGCATTAAAGAGATGGCAATATATGAATAAATAGTGTTGATGGGAACACTTCTGTGAAGGGCAGAATGCAGCGTGCTTAACAGGGAGAAAAGGAGTTCTGCTCACATATCTATACAAATCTATAGATTTGTTCACACTGTTCTGTCACTATCAAATCATAATACCTATATGATACATAGGACTGGAGAACAAGTCCTATGAGGAGCGGCTTAAAGAGCTGTGCAGAAGAGAAGGCTGAGAGGAGGCATGATGGCCATGTATAAATATGTAAGGGGAAGTCATAGGGAGGTGGGAGCAAGCTTGATTTCTGCTGCCCTGGAGACTAGGACTCGGAACAATGACTTCAAACTACAGGAAAGATTCCACCTGAACATTAGGAAGAATTTCCTAACTGTGAGAGCTGTTCAGCAGTGGAACTCTGTCTCGGAGTGTGGTGGAGGCTCCTTCTTTGGAGGCTTTTAAACAGAGGCTAGATGGCCATGTGTCCGGAGTGCTTTGAATGTGATTGTCCTGCTTCTTTCAGGCCCACGAGGTCTCTTCCAACTCAGTGATTCTATGATTCTATTACTGTTCGCAGTATGGGGAGTGCTCCTCAATCAGTCCCCCCAAATGTCAGCCCAGGTAGATGTGATGATCAGAAGTTCTTACTACCAAGTTCAACTGATACGCCAGCTTTGCCCCTTCCTAGAACTGGAGGACCTAAAGGTGGTAGTGCATGTGCTGGTAACCTCAAGCTGAACTTCTGCAATGCACTATATATTGGGTTACCTCTGTACCAAGTTGGGAAACTCCAATTAGTTCAAAACATGACATCCAGATGGGTTACAGGAACATCTTTAAGTGAGCATATTATACCCATACTAAAGCTACTCCACTGGTTCTCAATTAGTTTCCAGGCAAAGTACAAGGTGTTGGTTATAATCTTTAAAGCCCTCCATGCTTTAGGTCCAGGTTACCAACAGGATCGCCTTATCCTGCACAATCCACCCCTTCTACTGAGGTCTTCTGCTAACTCCACCCAGGCAGAACCCAACTGCTGACTGTCACCCAGAGGACCTTTTCATTGAATACCCCAAGACTATGGAATGACCTGCCAGAAGAGCTCCAACAGCTAAATGAGATGTCAGCATTCAAGACAAAACTGAAGATCTGTCTCTTCAAGCAGGCCTACTCAGCCAATTTTAAACTATACATTTTACTTTAGATTTTATTAGTATCCATGTAAATCTTAGCTATGTGTATTTTAATATATGTATTTTAAAGGTATTATGTTTTATCCATGTGTTTTAAATATGCTGTACCCAGCCTTAAGTCATGAGAAGAGGCAAGTAACAAATTTTTATAGAATCATAGATTCATAGAGTTGGTAGCAGAAAAATCACATTCAAAGTACCCTTGTGCATTGTTATCTTGTTATCATCATTATTATATCAATCTTCCTATAAAGACCTACACTGATATAATAAAATGTGAGCATATTGACATACATGATAAGCACACTAGTTTTGTAATTTGGAAAGTAGCTACAATAAACCTCCCGTCAAACCATGTGAAACCAGAAATTGAAAGCAGTGATGAAAGCTAAAAGTCATTTCACCCTGGTACTTTTCCTGAAGGGAACAATGGGGACAGAATTCACAGAATCAATGAAAATTTAGTATAGAAAATCAACACTTTTGAAGCTATGGAAGTCTTTTTGTGCAGGAAAACCATACATGCAAGAAAAACCTAAGTTGAAAAGATTTTGCTTTGAACACATCATTTATGTATGTTACAGTATTGATTTTTATCCTGCCTGTCTCCTGATTGCTAATGACCAATATAAAACAATGTTAATTGAAAACCATGTGAATACATTAAAATGTAAATATAAAATTAAAAAAACCAATAATGTATGCTATTAAACCTATTAAACATTAAAATATTAAAATTATTAAAGTTTGATGCCTACCTTAAAATTCCAATCACACTATATTTAAAAGCCCAACCCTAACAGACCAAAGCGGGGGGGGGGGGGGGGGCATCCTGGCCTCTGTATATGTAAGATATAATATACAGAGACAAAAGAGGTTCTTTCACAAATCCCTCAACAACAAAAAATAGGCATGGAGCTTGTAGCACTGGCCACATTGTCTGAATGCCCAGTCACCATCTCCCAAAGCAGTTACTATACTCCCAAGTAATGAATGGAAAATGGAATAGTGGTGGACAGGAAAAGAGATTTAAAGATGGCCTTAAAGATGGGAGACAGTGGTCAGGCATTCGGAAAATATGGCTGGTCCAGCTGAGTTGATGGCGGAGGACTATCACTTCAGTGCTGGTGGTCTTTGCTTCTTCCAGAATGCTGACATTTGTCCACCTGTCTTCCCAGGAGATTTGCAGGATTTTCCAGAGGCAGCGCTGATGGAATCGTTCCAGGAGTTGCATGTGATGTCTGTACACAATCTGTGTTTTGCAGGCATATAGCAGGGTTGGGAGGACAATGGCTTTATAAACAAGCACCTTGGTATCCCTACGGATGTCCTGGTCCTCAAACACTCTCTGCTTCATATGGAAAAATGCTGCACTCGCAGAGCTCAGGCTGTGTTGAATTTAAGTGTCAATGTTGACTTTTGTAGAGAGGTGGCTGCCAAGGTAGCGGAAATGACCAACATTTTCTAATGTTACACCATTAAGCTGTATTTCTGGCATTGGAGAAGGGTTGGCTGATGACTGCTGGAAGAGCACTTTGGTTTTCTTGATGTTTAATGACAGGCTGAGCTTCTCGTATGGTTCTGCGAAGGTGTTTAGAGTGGCTTGTAGGTCTTCTTCTGAATGCGCACAGACAACATTGTCATCAACATATTGAAGTTCTGTAACAGATGTTGCTGTAACCTTGGTTTTGGCTTTCAGTCTGCTGAGGTGAAATAGCTTCTCATCTGTCCGATAGATGATTTCCACTCCAGTGGGAAGCTTCCCATCAACAAGATTTCTGTTGCTGTTTTTCATTTGTTCAGTCGTTTCCGACTCTTCGTGACCTCATGGACCAACCCATGCCAGAGCTCCCTGTCGGCCGTCACCACCCCCAGCTCCTTCAAAGTCAATCCAGTCACTTCAAGGATGCCATCCATCCACCTTGCCCTTGGTCAGCCCCTCTTCCTTTTTCCTTCCATTTTCCCCAGCGTCATTGTCTTTTCTAAGCTTTCCTGTCTCCTCATGATGTGGCCAAAGTACTTCCTCTTTGCCTCTACTATCCTTCCCTCCAATGAGCAGTCAGGCTTTATTTCCTGAAGTATGGACTGGTTGGATCTTCTGGCGGTCCAAGGCACTCTCAGAACTTTCCTCCAACACCGCAAAATAGCAAATAGCAAAAAGAAAAGAGAAACCACTTCAAAATGATCCCAAAAGGCAAACGAGATTGGTCTGGAATGACCAGAGTGGGACAAAGGACTCTTGTCTGCTGGAGCTAGGTGTGAATGTTTCAACTGACCACCTTAATTAGCATTTGATGGCTTGGCAGTGCCTGGGGGAATCTTTTGTTGAGAGGTGATTAGATGTGCCTGATTGTCCTTTGTCCCACCCTGGTCATTCCACAGATATATAAACCCTTTTTTCCTAGTTCCAACAGACCTCGCTACCTCTGGGGATGCTTGCCATAGATGCAGGCGAAACGACAGGAGAAAATGCCTCTAGAACATAGCCATATAGCCCGGAAAAACCTACAACAACCCGATGCAGTTCAGTTTTCCAAGTGGAATATGTGCTCACTTAGGTAGCAGGTGGCAAGGGCATGCATGCTATGCACTCCCAGTTAGGTGCTGAGGATAAGGAGGGGCCGCCCCGCCCACCTGCTCCCTCTCCAGCCAATCAGGCTTCGGGGTCCCGCCCACCAGAGCTACCCCTCTCTAACCCTGATTCCTCTCTCCAGAGGGAAGGCGGAGAGGTCGGTGGCTGAGCCGGGTTTGGTCTGGGTTTCCCTTTGGTTGCTTCCCTTTTACCTTGACTCCTGGAAGGAGGGAGAGGGAGAACCCTTGGAAGCAAAAGAGGCAAGTGGAGGGCAAGGCAAGGCAAAGAAAGCAGGTCGCAGCCAAACAGGAGGCGCTTGGTCTCGAAAGGTAAGGCGGGTTGTGTTCGCTTTGATCGCAATGCAAAAGGGGGAAGCTGGCTGCCGGCTTGGTAAAGGAAAGGAAACAAAAGGCTAGCTGATCCGGGCTCAGGGCGGGTTGGCTGGTTGGCTGGTTGGACGCCGGGCGAGAGGAAGAGAGAGCTTGGGCTGGGCTTCTTCTTTCTCCCTCCGGTTGCTTTAAACCCAAATGCGCACCTTGTAGTCTGAATGAGTCAAACCAGGAAAGACTTCCACTCAAGAGAGCCCGCCCAAGCCTCCCTCCCTGCCCTCAAGCAGGGCAGGAACAGTGTTCTGTAGGCAGCCTGGGGGGACAATCATCATCACCATAATAATGCTTTATTTATATCCCGCCCCCTCTCCCTCTTGGGCTGGTGTGAGTTTTCCAGACTGTATGGCCATGTTCCAGAAGCATTCTCTCCCAACGTTTCGCCCACATCTACGCCAGGTTGTGGGGTCTGTTGGAAACTAGGCAAGTGAATCATAGAATCGTAGAGTTGGAAGAGACCTCATGGGCCATCCAGTCCAACCCCCTACTAAGAAGCAGGAATATTGCATTCAAAGCACCTCCAACAGATGGCCATCCAGCCTCTGTTTAAAAGCCTCCAAAGAAGGAGCCTCCACCACACTCTGGAGCAGAGAGTTCCACTGCTGAATGGCTCTCACAGTCAGGGAGTTCTTCCTAATCTTCAGGTGGAATATCCTTTCTTATAGTTTGAAGACATTCTTCCGCGTCCTAGTCTCCAGGGCAGCATAAAACAGGCTTGCTTCCTCCTCCCTATGACTTCCCCTCACATATTTATCCATGATTATAATGTCTCCTCTCAGCCTTCTCTTCTTCAGGCTAAACATTCCCAGCTCTTTAAACCGCACCTCATGGGGCTTGTTCTCCAGACCCTTGATCATTTTAGTCACCCTCCTCTGGACACATTCCAGCTTGTCAACATCTCCCTTCAATTGTGGTGCCCAGAATTGGACACAATATTCCAGGTGTGGTCTAACCAAGGCAGAAAAGAGGGGTAGTATGACTTCCCTGGATCTAGACACTATTCTCCTATTGATGCAGGCCAAAATCCCATTGGCTTTTTTTGCCGCCGTATCACATTGTTGGCTCATGTTTAACTTGTCCACGAGGACTGTGAGGTTTATATATCCATGGAATAATGTCCAGGGTGGGAGAAAGAACTCTTGTCTGCTTGAGGCAAGTGTGAATACTGTAATTGGCCGCCTTGATTAGCATTGAATAGCCTTGTAGCTTCAAAGACTGCCTGATTTCTGCCTGGGGGAATCCTTTGTTGGTCAGTGTTAGCTGGCCCTGATTGAAATTTCAACAGAAAGCAGGTAACCATGAAAATAAACAAAATCTGTCTACCAGTATTTTTTAAAAAAATCTAAAATCAGGACAGTAAATAAAGAGGAACACTCAACCAACAGGGGAATTCTGGACATAAAACAACCACGGCCAGCTAACACCTCCCAACAATTATTATTATTAAACTTTATTTATACCTCACCACCATCACGCCTCAGGGACTCGGGGCGGCTAACATGAGGCAAGCCCAACAAATACAGTAAACAAAATAAAATACATACAGCAAATAATAACTCAAATAAAATATTAACAAGAAAGAAAAATAACACAGTGGGATAAAACACCAGGTATGAGGTTAGGTGAAAAGTTAAAAACAAGGAGTTGAACAAAGTGCCCCGGGAGATTGAGTGAGATAGGAAAAGGGAGTAGTATCTAGAGGGAGAGATATGGATGGGACGAGCTATGGGGTTTAATTTTCCTGCCAGGGAATGAGATAAAGTGCCTCAAGAGGACAAGTTTATGCTGGATGGTCATGATATAGGGATTTGTTATTCGTTCATCAAAAGCAAGGTGGAACAGCCAAGTTTTCAAACTTTTCCTAAAGGCTGACAAGGTGGGTGCTTGCCTAATCTCCCTAGGTATTCCCCCAGGCAGAAACAAGCTAGTCTTTGAAGCTACAAGGCCATTCAATGCTGATAGCCTGCAGCCTCAAAATTTGGCTGATTGCTGCCTGGGGGAATCCTTTGTTACTGTCTGGACAGTAAATAAAGAGCAATAGTAAAAAAAAGCAGACAAGAATTAATCAGGGCCAGCTAACACCCCCAAAACAGGATTCCCGCAGGCAGCAGTCAGCCAGGCTTGAAGCTGGAAGGCCATTCAATGCTAATCTAGGTGGCCAATTGCAACATCCACAAACATACAAGAGTTTTTTCTCCCACCCTGGACACCCTATTTCCTGGTCTGTCTCTCTTCTGAATTCATTCATTTCCCAGATATCAGTCAATAGGGAGGAAGGTTTCAGCCAATTCCAATCAACAATGTATTGACATTGTGGCCTCACTCTTCACAATACATCAGTTACTTAAATACTTGTAAGCTTAACCTATCCAAGCTTGTATGATTCATATTTTGAGTGGTGCTCCAGTGTTTAGAAAAGTGAAAGGTCATTTTTAATTGAAGTTGCTTTGGTTCCCTTAGACCTTTTTTGGCAAGGTTCAGGAACATTGCTAATACAGTACAATAATACAATCATAGACTTGGAAGGGATGCAAAGGGCATCTAGTCTATCTCCCTGCCCTTTGGATAGTATGCAAATCCAAAGAACTGTGGCAAAAATCTGAGAGTTAGGATCCTTTCCAGATCATTGCTTGCGGTCTCCCAATAATACACTTTATCTATATTCTGCCCTTCTTCCCTTGGGAACTCAGAGCTGATTACAGTATATACAACAAGCATTCAATGCCTTACAATCACAAACAATAATACACACAAACACAAACAAGGCAAATGCTTCTCCTTTCATTTCTGGCTTCTGGCTCTAGGGGAGGTGCTTTTCTCCATTTCCAAGCCAAGGAACCTGCGTGGTCACCTCCTGGTTGTGTGGCCAGCAAGACTGCTTAGACCGTCTTCCTTTTTTTTTTTTGCCTTTTTTCCCGCCATTAGCGGTAACTATTTATTTAATCACATTTGCATGTTTTCAAACTGCTAGGTTGACAGGAGCTAGAGCTAACAGCGAGAGTTCACCCTGTCCTATGAATTCAAACTGCCAACCTTCAGGTCAGCAGTTCAACTGCACAAGGGTTTAACCCGTTGCGCCACTGGTTTTAAATGCTGTATGTTATTGATATTGTTATTGTTTATTGCTTATTATGTATTTTCTGTTTTTGAGTTTATTTTAATTGTTTTGTATTGACTATTTGTTATCACATTTGTTTATTGATGTGCTGTGGGCTTGGCCTCATGTAAGCTGCACCAAGTCCCTTGGGGAGATGGGAGCGGGGTACAAATGAAGTTTCATTATTTATTATTATTATTTTCAAGTCAATGTCACACACCTTATATTTGAATACCTTGTTTTCCTCCAAGGTAAAAACATATACAGGTTGAACTGTATCTTGTTAATTTTGGCCTAGCTGTCTAATCTGATCCTGATATTGCCTTCTGGGGTATTCCCAGTTTTCTGAAACTTTGATAAGCAGGTCCTCTGTTCTGTCTTCCAAACCATTTATAAAGATATTAACCAAAACTAAGCCAGGGAGAGAACTTTGTGGTGCCCCACTTGCTGATTCTCTTCCTGATGAGGAGAAACTGTCGAAATAAATACTGTGTATGTGGAAAAAAAATAGTTTGCCAAGTCTGAAGTAGAGGAGCCATTGAGCAGAGCAGGAGACAGATTTCAGTAGTGGCATTTTGCCACCTGATTCACAGCAGCCAATGTGTACCAAAAAAAATCCTCCATGCACAATTCAAGATGCTTAGATTCCAAGGTACATCACATTACTCTGGCACTTGAAGAAGAAAATCCACAAGTGTCTCATTATCTCCCTGGCAGTAAAAATACAATGCTTAAATTGCCAAAAAAAAAAAAAACCTGTCTGTTGTCACTCAAAATGAGTTGCCTTATATGACATCTTACTTTGTCTAATGGAGGGCCAGTCAGGGTCATCAGTCTATTGCAGGTATGGGGAAACCCAGACCCGAGGGCCAGATGTGGCCCCTTGGGCTCTTTTTTCAGGCCCACCAATCTCTCGCTATCCTATCCTTCGTTCCTTCTTTCTTTTCTTCCTTCTTTCCCTCCCTTACCTCCCTCTTGCTCCCTCTCCCCTCCTTTCTTCTCTTCCACCCTTTCCTCCTTCCTTCCCTCTTTCCTCCCTCCTTCCCACTCTCTCTTTCCCCTTCCTTCCGTCTTTCTTTCTTTCCTTCCTCCCTCCCTCCATTCCCTTCCACGCTTCCTTCCTTCCTTTCTTTCCCCCTTCCATCCATCCATCCATCCTCCCCTTTCCCTTCACCTTCCTTCCTTATTTCCTTCTCTTTTTCCTTCCTTCTTGCCTCCTAGGGAATGTATAGCTGTGAGAAGAAAAGGTAGAGAGTGAACATAGGAACCATGTTTTAAGATTTAAAAGGCTGTCCCATTGAGGAGGATGGGAAAAACTGACTTTCTGCTGCTCTACTGACCAGGACCCAAGGGAGCAATGGGTTCAAATGGCAGGGAAAGAGATTCGACTGAAATGATTAGGAAGAACTTACTGAGAGTAACAGTTGTTGAAGAGTGGCATAGGCTGCCTCGGAGTGTGGTGGAGTCTTCTTCTCTGGAGGCTTTTCTGCAGAGTCTGTCTATCGGAAGTGCTTTTTATTGTGCCTTCTTGCATGGCAGCAGGTTGGACTAGATGGCCCTCGGTGATCTCTTCCAGCTCTACGATTCTATATCAGGAGTAGACAATATGGGACCTAATGGATACACTTTTTCTCTTCTGTTCACCATCTCATCCTAACAAAGGCTAACCCTTTTGGGATCCAAACGTTTCCTGTTTTTAATTCACTTACTGCCTCCAAAAGAGAAGAAGAAAGGGCTGGGGGGATGGGACTTGGGAGAACCTCCTCTCTTCTTCCCTCCTGGCCCATCCAGCCCACCACGTAGCCCCCAAGTTAGAAAGTTTGCCCATGCCTGGTCTATTGACCTA